TTCATTCAGTTAATACCTTAACTATGGTTATTTGAAATATTTTGCTGCAAGCAGTTGAACATAGCACAATGATAAGCAACTGGATGCACGTGTGCAGCAAAAAGGAAAGTTGCACGAAACTTGGCTTCTTTTCGAGATCTTGATATGCATCACATTATAAAACTCGGATGAGATACCAAATGTTTCGGATACCTTAGCAACCAGCGATGCTGCACGAGTGGAATCAAATCCTGCCGCCAATACTTTAGAGATGGCTACAGAAAGTAAACAAGAAAGCGTCAGCTTGTCTCGAGCATGATCAACAAGATTCTTCTTGTCGCAGATTGTTTTTGTTATAAGTAGAGAGGAACCTACATAGGAGTTTCTCTGGTTCCCACCAATCACCACTTCCTCTCTTCCAGCTCCATCCAGACAACACAGTTACACAGGAGCGCTCTAGCCACCATTCCAAGCATGGATAGACTAGCCATCTAGAGTCGATGTCGGCAAACATCTGGCCAATGAGATCGGGGTTGAAGAATGGCCGCCGGAGCTAAACATGGATGTCTCTTCAGTGTCTGCGACCATCGACGCAACACGAGCTTATCTGAGGTCAGTTGGAAATACGTACATCTGCGTTATGAGATCATGGGGTTGTCTAGCAGCTAGGCCAGCTTTCCACAGTCTACACATACAAAGGTGATGGTGCTCTGTGATGTTGCCCGATGTCTGCAGTGGCATGGAAGAAAGCAGTGGGTTGAAACATGAATGATCAAGAGCTGCACTTAGTTCTAAAGAGTGAACATGCATTATACAACATCATCTGAAGCAAGCTGACAAGACAGATAACTGATGACAAGGAGGACTACAGAGTGGTCAGATTACTTACATCATCTGAACTCTGAAGAGTGAGCATGCATTATGCAACATCATCTGAAGTAAGTTCAGAAGAAAGTTAAGGAGACTAGTACTTCCGAATTCTGGTTTGAAGGAATAATAAATAGAGTGACCAGATTACCTGCAAGAGGGAGGGAGACAATTACTTTCGAACCAAAATTGCAGCTCATGTCCAAGCAAACAGGGAAGACAGCTCGTGTCCACCTTTCAAGGTTACAACTACCCATTCAAACGAATTTCAATGTAAAGAAAAATGAAGATCTCCATCACTAAAAATCAAGAATTTTCCAACTTTACGATCTCAGTTTGAACGTCCAAGTATGCATGGGTGATATTCTTCTATGTCCCACTTTCGAGCAAATATTTGATTTGGCTGGCCACAGGAGCAATAGACTGAAAAAAAGAGCGGTTTAGTAGGATTAAGGTTTGCTCATATAAAACTTCAGCAAAAGTAAAGATAGTTCGTGTCTGAGATTCAATTAGTATGACTAAAAACACGATTGCGTAAAAAAATGATGATCATAAACACATCAAAAAATCGTTGCCATGCCATTTTGATTATAAAATGGTGATGCATCTCACACCGTAGGTAGCTCAATCTGAAAGGAAGAATGGGGGATAAAACGTTGAACCAATCGCAACACCCATGATCCTTGTCCAGTGGATCTTGTCTTCCGTCGCCTAAACATGCCAGCTCCAAAGCATGACGATTCAATTAATGATTAGCAACACTTCCCACCAAAGAACATATCTTAATAAATTGAGAACAGGCTCACAGCTAGATGTTGCATTACCATCCATTAAAAAATGGCTTGAGCATGCAACACCACCGGACCACAACCACACCGCTGGTGCCTGCTGACGATAATATGCTGCCTCGTCTCGAGGACAGCAGACACTCTAAAATATGCACTAAACATCAGACGACTTTGCTTGTGCCAGATCTCGATCCATAGCAGACAGCATCTTGGAAATGAAATGGCATGATTCTTCATGTCTAACAATCGAACACTCTGGCTTGTATGCCTCTTTGGTATAAATAGGCATCAGAAGAACGGTAGACACATCAAACCAAAAGTCGCTCTTCTATTCTCCTCTCTTCAACCACAATACGGAGAAAAACTTCAAGATCAGAAATGGCTTTCCACCTAAGATCGATAAGTTTGCCATCAAGGCCTCAGGCCAACCAGACTGAAGTCGAGCAAGAGGTGCTGAGCCTAGAGGCGAGCATATCTTCCTCCACCACCACCATCGGCACTATGTGTGCCGGTCTGAGGAGGCTCAGAGACATCTACAATGGTGTTGAAGAGATTATTGGCCTGCCAAGCAACCAGGCTGGCAAGATGTTGGATTCAGAGATGGAAGGCTCTCTTGAGCTGCTAGATCTCTGCAGCACCATGCAAGAGATCTTCGTTGAGATGAAGGCCATCATCCAAGAGCTACAGGTGGCTCTAAGAAAAGGAGATGATGCAACTGCTCAAGCCAAGATCCAGTCTTATGCTCGTTTGGTGAAGACGGCGAAGAAACATTTCAAGAAGAGCGCAAAGAAGGCTAATGTTGTGTCTGAGGGTTGCAAGATGGTCATGTTATTGACCAAGGCTAGAGAGATTTCTGTGTCCCTGCTGGAGTCCACAGTCCATCTCTTGTCAAAGGAAATCGGAATGCCAAAACAGTCTCTTGTCTCAAAGGCATTTCACAAGAAGAAGACAGTTGTTTGCCAGGAGGAGCAATTGCAGGAGTTAGAGTGTAGTATTGGGGATCTCGAGAATGGGGTGGGACATCTGTTCAGGAAATTAGTCCAGATCAGAGTTTCTCTCTTGAACATTCTTAGCTCATAGATACTCCAAGTCACTCTACACCCTGTGATTGGCATCCGCCTTTTTGAGGATTAGCCGGTCTTCATACAATTTTGCCATATGTATACAGTACAAACGCACAGAAACTTATAGAAAGAAAAAGTGAAGTTTTGATCTATTTCATGTCTTGTGATCTCTGCATACTTCCTTTCGATGTCCTTGGATAGTGGATCATGTTCCTTGTGTGCTAGGTCAAAGCAGTGGTGCCTAAGGTTGTTATTAGCAGAAAAATAAATCTAATTACTAAGATTACCACCACCACCACATGGCTGTACAGTCTGCCTGTGCAATTAATGTATTTATAGTTTTAGGATGGATATATGCTACAAATTCCAAACTTTTGAACTGAAACTTATAGATGCTCAAGCTCCATATCGTTCAAACATGTTGCAGTGACCAAAATATTCCAAAAACATCTCAACTTCTGCTTGTTCTTGGGGATGATATAATACTAACATTAATTTGATCTAGATTTACTAGTGCAAACATGCCGTGCAAAAAATACTAACAAGCAATATTTTGCAAGCTAATATGATAGCTGTGTGCTGCAGATAGAACAGCAATCGGGACAGCTGGTAAGAAAGCACAGTGTAGACTAATTAGTTAACTTCAGAGGCTAGAGAGTCGACTCGTGGAGGAAGCACGGAGAGCCAGAGCAGGTTGGATGCTGGCATCGATCCTGGCGGCATGCCGGGCATAAGTCCACCGCAGCATTTGGGTTGCCACTCCGCTGCTTCGATCATCAATATCTTCTTTTTTTTCTCCTTTTGTTTTCCATTTTTATTTGAGAAATTTTTCATTTTTGTGCATAGGGCTGTGGATTACACACTGGTCAAACTCTTAGGCCGTGACGTATCGGCTCATATAAAAGCACGTCTTGGCCCAGCCCATGAAGTGCAACCAGTGACAGCATGCGCGCACAAAGCCTAGCTACCTTTGCTAAAAAAACGATTTATTGTTGATTTATACCCAAAAAGATATTTTATTCATGGGCACTGCTACAAATCATCCGACTTATTTCCTCTGGAAATCAATTTCCTCTGGAAATCAGTCGGGTCGGTAGCCGTCCGATCCATGCTCTCCGGTCGTTGGATGGGTCAACGCTCCACCGCTTTCTTCTCACCGAGCAAACGCATCGGCGCCTCGGTCGCTCCATCGCAGCTGTTCACTGTGCCTCAAACTAGTAGCAGCAGCAACGTCACCGACGGTAGCAACGCCGGCGAGAGCTGCATCGCAGCGCAGGCGACTGCGACATTTGCTGCATCCCCGCGTGACGACGGCGGCGATGACAGATATTGCAATGCAGCGCGGCGCGGTCACGGTGGTTCGTTCCATTCCAGCTCCCTGCCAGCGGCGAGATTCAGGTCGAAGCAGCGCGCGCGTTGCACTACAGCTTCGCCGGCGGCGAGATAAGAGTCGAAGCGCAACCCGCGTTGCACTGCAGCTTTGCCGGCGGAGAGATCCGAGTCGAAGCACAGCACGAGTTGCACTGCAGCTTCTCTGGCGGCGGCGAGATAGGAGTCGAAGCACAACTCGCGTGGCACTGCAGCTTCGCCAGCACGCGTTGCACTGCAGCTTCGCCGGCGGCAAGATCCAGGTCGAAGCACAACGCTTGTTGCACTGCAGCTTCGCCGGTGATGATGCAGCGCCGACGAGGTGACCTTGTAGCACGGCGGAAGCTGCAAAAAAAGCAATTGCAGCGGCTGGAGTGTAGTAGGCCGCCGCTAGGTGCTGCAGGCTACACCGGCGGGCTTCTCCTGACGAGGTCAATGTTGAAGGAGATGGGCGGTGCTAGCAGATATGGAGGTAGGAGATGAAGTAAAAAATGAGATCTCGGCAGGGAAAGGAAAAACGAGTAGCTCGCGTTGGACCTGGGAGATAAGGTATGTGGTATGGTGCGTGGCCCACCAGGACGTGGCACGCGGGCGAGGCGGATGATTTCTTTCGAAAATCATCCGGCTGTTTTGAAGAGTTTTCCTTTATCCATTCATTAAGTAACTTCAACTATATTTATTTAAATATTATTGCTGCAAGCAGTTGCAACATAGCACAGCGATTAGCTGAACTGGATGCGCGTGTTCAGTAAAAATAACGCTGCATAGCACATGCCTTCCTTTCGAGATCTCGACGTGCATCACACTGTATTCTAAAATTCAGATGAGATACCAAATGTTTCGGACACCTCACCAGCCAGTGATGCAGCACGAGGGGAATCAAATCTTGCCGCCAATACTCGAGACATGGCTACAGAAAGTAAACAAGAGAGCATCAGCGGATTGTTTTTGTTATAAGTATAGAGGAGCCTACATGGAAGTTTCTTTGGTTCTCTCACCGGTCACCACTTCTTCTCTTCCAGCTCCATCGAGACAACACAGGAACGCTCTGGCTCCCATTCCAAGCATGGCTAGCCATCTAGAGTCTTGAGCCGACAAACATCTGCCGGTGAAATCAGGGTCAAATAATGGCCGCGAAGCTAAACACGGCTGCCTCGTCTTCAGTTTCTGCGACCATTGGTGCGAGATTGACTAAGGACTGTTGGAAATACTTACATCTACATTGTGAGACGATGGGTTGTCTAGCAGCTAGGCCAGCTTTTCCAGAGTCTCCACGTACGAAGGTGCTGGTGTTCTGAGCTTGGAAAAAAACAGTGAGTTGAAACATGAATGTTCAAGAGCTGCACTTAGTTCTCAAGAGTGGACATGGATTATGCAACAACATCTGAAGCAAGCTGGGAAGATAGATAACTGATGACAAGGAGGATTACAGAGTCTGTTCAAGAAAATTGTAATGCCGAGTACAAAGAAGTACTCAAGTCAAGCCATTCTCTCTATAAGCTAATATAGTGGTTTTCATTTAGTGGGGTTCCATAGACTAGGTGGACAGCGATGGGTTTTGAAACTTGCGAGCCGTTAGAGGCGACTCCGGGCGACGCGGGCGGCGACTCCGTTCCCCCCGGCGATGCTGCCGCGGCGTCGGCGTGGGTGCTGATCCGGCGGGGTCCCTGTGGCGCCCCGGCGCTCCCCGCTCCGGCGTGCCCCCCCTGGGGCTGGCCGTGTTGGTGGCGGCGGCCGTTTCTGGGCGTTGGCGGAGGATTCGTCCGATGAGGAGGATGGGCTATCCCCATCGCGGATGGTCCCTCCCCCGGCGGGGGCGACGGTGGGTGATTTCGTGCTAGCGGTGCCTCAAGGCGGAGCTGGTCGGGGTGACCAGCGACGCCGTTTCGCGCCGGGTGGTGGAGGCGCGCGGTCGACGGCTGAGGCCGCGCGGGGGGTTCCCCCGCGGTCTCCCTGGCGTTTTGGGTCCGCGGTGGCCTCGGTGTCGCCTGAGGAGTGGCCTGCCCTCCCCCCCCCTCGTCGGCGTCGTTGGCGGCGGCGGCGGCGCGGGTAGTGGAGGTGGCGGATGCGCTAGGGTTGGCGCCGCCCGCCCTGCCCTTGGGCCTGCTGGGGGCCGCTGGGCCTGGGGCGGCCCAGCCCTGTCCAATGACCGTCGGGCCTTCTGGTGGGGGGCCCAGGTCGTCTGTGGGTGAGCTTTCGGGCCCTGGTGAGGGACCTGGCCCCGTCAGCCCATGCGGGCGGCCTGCCCCAGGGGGGGCCCGTTGGCCCGCCTGCCAGCACTTTATATGGCTGCGCAGGGGCCTCCGCGACCCCTCGCTAGGGTTTCCGGCTCGTTCCAGTGAGGTGCGGCACCATCGTCTCCCCATCAGATCTCTCGTTCCCCTTCCCCCTCCTCCACCTCTCTCCCTGTCCTTTGCCGAGGTGACGGCCATGGGTGACCGGCGCGCGGACAAGCCCCCGATGGAGCCCCCGCTCTTCGAGGAGGAATGGCGGCGCGAGAAGGCCCTTCGGACGCAGGCGAAGCATGGCCTGCGGGCCAAGGCGGCAGGGCGAGCGGGCGGTGGCGGTGGTTTCGAGCATGGTCAAGACGGCGGTGCTGGTCGGGGCTACGGTGGCTATTAGGGCCACGACTCAGGATTTGGTTTCCATGGGCGAGAGGGGGATTGGGGTCCTCCTCCCCCCTGGTGGGGCCAGCAAGAGATGAAGAAGAAGCGTAAGCATGGCGGGCGTCGCGGCGAGCTGGAGCACAAACAAGAGCACCCCCTGTGCGGCGGAGGTCATGGGGACCCGCTGGCAAAAAAGCCCCAGGCTTCGGCTACACCGCTCGCAGTGGTCGCGCCCGATGCGCCGCGGGGCTCGGCGGACACTCCCATTCCAGTAGAAGAGGAGGGCGGTGAGTGCTTCAAATGTGGCCGGACCGGCCACTTTCAGGCCAAATGCACCTTCCCCCCTCCTTTGTGTGATCTACAAGCAGGAGGGCCATGCCTCGGCGTACTGCCCTTCACGGGGCAAGCAGCCGCACCTACAGATCATGGGCAGTGCCATTCCGGGCGAAGGTTTCTTCTGCATGGAGTTTGAAGAAGAGGAGTTGGAGGAGGGCGATGCCCTTAAAACAGCCAATGGGGCCATACTGTCAGCAGAGCCGGGGAGGCTTTCTGTAACGCCCTCAATGCGGCTATATCTCCTACGTGTCGAAGCACGACTTAGAGGCATAACCGCATTGAAAGCAATGTCGCAAGTGAGGTAATCTTCACACAACCCATGTAATACATAAGGGAAAGAGGTACATAGTTGGCTTACAATCGCCACTTCACACAATTACATGAATAAGCATTACATCATCCAGATACAATCAAGGTCCGACTACGGAACCAAAATAAAAGAAGAACCCCAAATGCGACAAAGGTCCCCGATCGACCCCAACGGCTCCACTACTGATCAACTAGAACGGAAACAATACAAAGGGCAAGATCTTCATCGAGCTCCTCCTGAGCTTGGTTGCGTCATCTGCACGGACTCAGCGGCACCTGCAAGCTGGTTTTGGAAGTATCTGTGAGCCACAGGGACTCAGCAATCTCGCACCCGCGAGATCAAGACTATTTAAGCTTATAGGAAGGATGGAGTAATGAGGTGGAGCTGCAGCAAGCG